GCGGCGGCCGGACGAGGAGCCGCCGCTGCCGCCGCCGTCCCCGGAGATGGTGGCGCGGCTCTCGGTGCTCGTCGGCCGCGCGCTGGTGCGCCTGGCCCGGGAGGCGCAGCGGCTCAGCCTGCGCTACGCCAAGTGCACCAAGCTGGAGGTGCACACCGCCGTCAAGGTGGTGCTCTCCTGGACCATCTCCGTCAACTGCATCGCGGCCGCGCTCAGCGCCTTGTCCCTATACACGATGAGCGGCGCCGACAAGTTCGGCCGCGGCAAGTCCGCGCGCTGCGGCCTCGTCTTCTCCGTGGGCAAGTTCTTCAGGTGGATGGTGGACAGCCGCGTGGCGCTGCGCGTTCACGAGCACGCCGCCATCTACCTGACGGCGTGCGTGGAGAGCCTCTTCCGAGAAGTGCTCGGCCGCGTGGCGCGCGGCGCGCTGCTGCAGCGGGACGGCGGCGTCCCCGACCTCAGCCTGGAGGCTCTGGAGCAGGCCGTGAATGCCGACTCGGAGCTCTGGGGGCTGCTGCAGCCGTGCCAGCACCTCGTCTGCGGGAAGAACTCCAGCGGTAAGATCCGCTGCCGTGACCACTTTTCACTTCAAACATACGCGGTATCGTTGAAGGGCCGGGCGGAATCTGCACCCAGGCGGTGGGTTCCTGGTTCTCACCTAGCAAGGCTCTCTTGGTATTTCCACCGAAGCTCCAGAAACTTTGTAGGATCCCCTCATCTGAAGTTCGGGCCTCGCAAAAGTGCTACTGCCCGAGCAGGGTCTTTTTCGGACCAGATACGCATCGAGATTTGAATTCAAATCGAGTTTCGAAAGCCACGTTTCTACCACTTTGATGAGAGAGTGGTTCCTGGAGCTAAAAGGTTCCGATCAGATCTCTTCAGTGCTGCAACGGCGCTGCAGACTCTGTTCCAAAAGTTCCTAGATCTCTGGAAACGACTCTTGACGTAGCAGGGTCTGTTATCCTTTCAAAACTTCGTCCGAGCACACAACGGTCCTGCAAACGTTTCTAGTTTCGGGGTAATCTACCTGGTCCAGTAGTCCCAGAAAGTTGTCGTTCTTAGTGCTTGTAGTTCCTGGAACTAAAATGCAATTGTCCCCCAAAAGTGTGTGTGTGTGTGGGTACTACAATTCGAATTTCCCTACGGAAGATCCGAAAGTGGCAGATGATCCAATTATCGCCTTTAACTGTTCATTTCGTACTACGGATGTTGCTGTTTTTCATTGGTTTGTCGCATATGCTTGTGTGTGTGTCTGTGTGTGAATTTGGGATTGAGATTCTACTTGATCGATCGCATTGTCTCTCCGCCAGAGAAGGCAAAGGGGGTTAACCTTGTCAAGGTGAGGCGGACAAAGGTGCGCTATTGGCGCTCGTGGTAGAGGTTAGTTGGGCGACCTCTCCGCTGACATATTTATGCCCCTTTCGCGGCCCCATCCGCGATGATGAACTGCCTTCCTCGGGGGTGAGCCGGCTGACGGAATGGCTGTCATTCCGTCGGCCGTGGCGAATTTTTATGCGCCGGGTAATTTCACAAGACAAAATCAGCCGGATGGGGAAGTTGTTTCTTTTGTTTTATGAGCCGCATCCCATTTGTGGCTCCCCCGTGACTTTCTTTTCTGGGGCCTCTCATTCATTTCCGCCCCCGTTCCCCATCCCGAGGCCGGAATGTGCTGCTGATCCCCAAACGTCTCTCTTTTAATTTTGGTTCAGGAATCCACAGGAGCAAAAAAAAAGGTGACACTCATTTGTCACTGCCGCATGTCCGCACACTCGGTTTAAATGCCACGTCAGGAAAAGCGCTCGAGGAGCTGCAATTGGCACAAATGCATCACTTGAATGTGCACAAAATCTTAGGAAAGACAGTTGGCAACAGGTTCAGCTATCCATGGGAATGCTGTGGTTGTCATAGCTTAGCTACACAGCGGTGAGCACGGATGCTTGAAAATATCGGAGATAGAAAGCGGGATGGTAAACCTCTCAAGATGATATCGAGAACGGCTTGCTATCGGCGGCGGTGGACGTTAGCGGCCGAAGGTACATCAACTTAAGCTCGTCCTTTGCAGTCAGACACCTTTGGTTCGCTGTCCCCTGAGCTTTTGGAAGCCGACAGGACCGCCAGCTGCCGTTTTAATTAACGAGAGCGAGTGCAGGGAGAGTTCCTGGCCCCGCTGGGGAGAACCATCTGGAGTAGGCGGCGCCATGCAAAATAGGCCAGTGAGACGCGCTTTGTGGAGAAGAGCGCGAAGGTTGACTGATGTGGAGGCAGGTAGACCTCCTTCTCCTCCTTCTCCTCCTTCTCCTCCTCTTACAGGCACGATGCATTTCATCACTCTGACGAAAGACAACATGTTGCAAAGGGGAACTGTCCTCGCTGTCGAAATCGCCGCCGTACGCGTCTTCCTTTGTGGAGCGCCATTTGAGGCCACCTCGGCGTTTCTCGTTGACGAGGGTGTCGCCACTCGCGTTCACTTGTCACGTTGTTTTCCCTTGTCAAGGTGTTCGTGGTGAGCACAATCGGCACCTGGAAAATGAACGACGTGAAATTGGGACGTTTCAACCGTGAATGTGAAACAAGCTCAAATTCTGACAGACAACTCAGTGAACCGGACCCGATATTTGCACAGTCCTTTTTTTTCTTCCTTCTCAGGGTGATCAATTATTCATAAGGGAATGTTTTGAAATGTCCATTCAGATGCTCCTCAGCCACATGGTGGCGAGAAAATCAACCTTCTTTTCCCGTTGGCCCCAATCCTGCCTGTCACCTGTTGCTTGCGGAACAAGGCCTTGCATAACCGCCTGTATCGGCTCGATTTGGGCAAGACCGTATCGCTGCATGCTGGACTGATGCATTCACACACACGCACGCACGCACACACCTACGCCGCCATGCCTTGGCGGAGATGGCTTTCTCGCAGGAGCCGTGCCACAAATCATCTCTGTGCCGTCAGCACCAGCGCAACAACAAAACGCCTTTTGGCTTGTTCTCACCCAACAGTGTGTCATCATCTAAAGAGGTGGGGCGTCTTTTCTCTGACCTGCATTTTGCAGCGTGAGAGTGGTTTTTTTTTTTTTTCTTCACCTCCCACCCTCCTTTTTTTTCTGTAAGTGATGAGTCACTCGCTCAACTTGGAACTGCCTGCCAGGATTCTGGATGTGTGTGAAAATGCAACTTCAACATGGCGCCAGCCATCTTCAGTAGGAATGTGACGAAAAGGAATGATGAAAATTCGAATCGCAATGCCCATCTGTCGAGTACACGAGGTTATTATTATTTTTATATATTTTTTGGGGAGCAATCCAATAAAATCGAGGGCCCCCATTTTGGAAGGCCAAATATTTGCCAAAATGGCTGACTTCCTGTGCTTTTTTTTGAGAAAATCCTTTCAAATCACAGTGCGTTTTATATTTTGTATGAAATCGTATGTGGTAGCTATTTTATTATTATTTTTTAAAATGTTTTTAAACACTCATTTAAAAAAAATCATTACAGTCAAGCATTTGGTTGATAAGGCAGCTTGTATTTTTATTTGGTTTTTTAAATAAGTGACAATATTGGGAAAAATATGTGCGCATTTGTTGGAATAATCAGGAAAAAAAACAATCTTCAGTTTGGGGGAAAAAGAACATATCACATTTCTCTCTTGAGTGATGTTCTAAGAGACGCAATTTTCCAACTTATCGCCATCAGATTCAGGACTGGTGTCGATCATTCTCGCGAAATGTCGTGGACCGCCACAGCTGTCGACCCAAATGAGGTTTTGTTCATCCTTTGTCGGTCTGTGTCAGGCTTGTGTGTGATGCGTGCCATTCCGGGGGTCTGCGCTGGTCTTATCATCCCATTTGTGTCAGCAGTCCTCTCGTCGGATTCCTGACAGTCTCGTCTTTAGCTGCCCCCTTCCAGTGCGTGTGTGTGTGTGTGTGTGTGTGTGTGTGTGTGTGTGTGTATGTGTGTGTGTGTGTGTGTGTGTGTGTGTGTGTGTGCATGCTCATGCGAGAAAGAATTCACCAGCTAGCTTCTTTATCACACACACGTGTGCGCGCGCACGCACACACCAGCAACGTCAAGCCACTCGACAGCCTCCTACGGGCTCCGTGATGTGTCTACTTTAGATTCAGAGGAGGAATATTTGAGTTGAGTCTGCAGGATTCTCCTGGGATTCTATCTTGGGTCTTTCCAGTAATTATACCATTAGCATATTGACATTTGATAATTTCAGCTTCAACTTTTTTTTCATTGTGCAGCAAAAACGATTATGCAGATCAACAATGTCATACACGTCTGTCTGTACATATTTTAAGTCATCGTTATCTTTCACTGTCAATAATATTATCCGTCCCACTGTGCGCTCATAATCCAAAGCATACCACATCACCAACCTAGCCATCCATCCATCCATCCATTCATCCTTCCATCCATCAATGCGTCCTTCCAGCACCCATCAAGCCATCATTGAACCACCCATCCATCCTCCATCCCTCCCCTCACTCATGCAGTATCCCTCGAGTCATCATCCATACATTTGTATTATTAATTCCATGCATACATTAATGCACTGCTTCATGTTTCCCCCTACAGACATGATCACGCAGCCCACTTTGCATGTGTGTGTGTGTGTGTGGGGGGGGGGGGAGTTGGTCGGTGATTCAGCTGCAGATGAGGTCACAAGCGAGTGCAAACAGCGCTGCAGAGCATGATGAGCTTGCCTGTGGTCCGTCTAGGGAGGCACAGGCATGCGAGTTCGCGGGGTGAGGTGGTGATAGGAGGCAGGGAGGCGGGGCCAGACGGCCTCACTCTGGTTTTGGGTTTTTTTTTCAAAAGTAGGCCAGCTCGTAGCCCAGAGCGCCCGCAACCAAGCAAGCCAGGCAGAGGCGCCTTTTAATAGCTTATTCAAATACACTGGATCCTCCAAAGTAGCCAGCGCGAGTCTTGCAGTGTGACCGCTCAAATCTATGGCCACCGATCCATAATGTACTACGCTTTGCGCGCCAAATGTTCATTGAAGATTAGTCGGCCATAAAAAGTAGCCCGAGAAAGAGCAAAAAGTAGGCGTGATGCTCTCTAAGCTGAATTTGGCTGTGTAGAAGCTACTTGTGATCGATACAAGTGTTTGTCTCATTGAATCCACTACGAGCGTCACAAAACAGAAAAAAGAAGATTATTTAAATTGAAATGTGATGATGTCTCAAACACACGCGCACGCACACACATGACCAAATACTACTACTGCATAGCATGCAAGTATGTTTGTATATTTTGGCACTCCGTTTTAAAAATAGTTCACAATGAATGAGTTAATAGCTTGGCATTATTTTTGAAACGTTTCACAGAGCGATGCAATTCTTCCCCATCTGCAGTTGTGTGTGCGTGTGCGTGTGTGTGTGCGTGTGTGTGTCAGAGAAGTTATATAAAAACTAATGAAGCAGTTTTGATTAGATTTCTGTGGCCTGCTAGAGAGTCACCCCGGGAGCCATCCATTGGGTTGTGGAAATGATCCGGATTGTTTTTGTCAGTGTGAGAACCCAAAAAAAAAAGGATCGGGGAATTCTACCCCCACGCG